AGCGTGTTTCTACAAAATGTTCCGCCACTGCTCTTGCAGGTTCCTGCGGTCTCTGTATGCATAACATACAGGGCGCTCGGGCTGGATGTACGCTTTCCTGAGCCGCTTTTACCGACTCGCACTGTCCGCACTGGACTTATCGTTTCGGGAAAAGTGACCTGGTCAGTTTTCCTTGGCGCTTGGGAAGTTTTCCTGGGCAGCAGTTGGCCAGTAAAAGTAACCGCTGGACTCAGGAAAAGTAACCACGAGGAAAACGTCCTAGGCTTTCCGCACTGGATTTAAAATGGGAAAAGTACCCATAGTCTCGGTTAGTTTGACCAAAAAAAGTCCAGTACGGACAGGGCTTTAGTTAAGCTGCTATGGTAAACCTGGCATGCATAATCAAGTATGGATCTAATACAAGCAAAATAGTATTTGCAGAGGTCCAGCTGGTTAAGACCTGCCCTACGAAGTTGCATTTACAAATAAAGTCTCTGAGCAGCTTTCGTATACACAGCATTAACATGAGTTTCCCATGGTAAATCATCACTGATGTTCAACCCTAACAGTTTCATTTGTTTCACACGATCAATGTTATGATCATCAATGTTTATGCTTGGAATTAACGGCACATGTTTACGGAAACTGATAACCATTTCTTAGTTTTATTTGGATTAATCCGCATGTCATTATGTGAAGACCAATCAATCACCTCCTGTACCGACTCCTGCATTTTGGATTCATCTGGCGATGTCACTATTTCAGCTAGGCTGCCTGGCCGGCCATGCACTAACTTTTAAGGCCGGGGACCGGGACGGGGCAGCTGGCAGCACTTCCCGGTGTTTATTTCTCATCATCAATTTCCATATTTGTTTGTAAGAGTATTGATTGAAAATGATTTGATATAAATTTTGTGGCCCTTTTTATAGCTTCTGTAGTGTAACTGGAACTGGTTCAGAGCTTTTTGACTAGAATTTTTGGAGGCGGCTTATATACGCCGACTTCAGATCTTAATTTGCAGATTTTTGCGTGCTGCGGCTTATACACCGCGCGGCTTATATTCCGAAAATTACGGTATATCCCTATTTTTCGAATCATTTTTCTAATTTTGTGTCGCCATGCTCACTTAGTTATAAGGCCTATTGTAAAATTTCAACCCCAACCAGGGGTGTCATTCGCTTTTCAAAAGTGGGGGAACATACCTTGATCAGAACTGATGCGAGCGTGAAGCGCGAAGCCCTTGAGGCGTGGGGTTAGGGGCCCGCTTTAAAGGGCCCCAAAATTTTTTTTGATTCTAGATGCTCTTTGGTGCGATCTGAGGCAATTTCTGACCACTTTAACCAATATTTTCTGAGCAAAAGATACATTCTTGTACATAATACTATTAATAGGGCCCTATAAATGAGACACGTGTTCAGAAATCTTTTTTTACCTCTTGCATCATTTTAATTAACCTGGTTTTTTAAAAATCGCTCCTGGTAAAAAGTGGGGGGGGGGGCAAAATAGCTACCCATTCAAAAGTGGGGGGGGGGGGGGGGCAACTGCCCCCTCTGCCCCCCGGTTCCGCCGCCGGTGCAGTGTTGTATCATCAACATATTTGACTGTGGGCAGGGAGGGTTGAAGATCTCCAATCATCATGATGAAAAGCAATGGCCCAAGTTTTGTTCCCTGTGGGTCTCCACCATTGATGACAGTCCACTGCGATTTACAGGTGCCGATCTTAACACACTGCATTCCGTGTGCAGGAACTCTGTAACCCAGTTGACGATGAGTTGATCAACATGAAGAGATTCCAGTTTATCGATGAGAATCACATGGTTGATCCTATCAAATGCCTTGCTGTAGTCGAGGAAAAGGACACACACCATGTTCTTGGCTTGATCTGTGGCAGAGTACCAGTTGTGCAACAGGTCAATGAGAGCGCAAGTAATTGATGAGCCTGGGACGTTACCAAATTGGACTGGATCTACATGTAACTGCGGCTGGTACTGCTCCCATAGCCATTTAAACACGAATACCTCAAGAATCTTTACTAGCATGGCGGTTAGGGAGATTGGATGCAAGTCATTCTCTACTGAGGCAGGTGGAGTCGTTTTCGGGATGGCGATAACATCAGCAGCCTTCCAGATGCTTGGTAGAGTTGCTTGGGCCACCAAAGCATTAAAGATGGAGCAGACTGGTCTTGCCAACATGGATGTGTGATCTTTCAAGATCCAATTGGGAATCTGATCAGGACCAGGTGCCTTGTGTGTTCTCACCAACTTCAGTGCTTTCTCAACCGCCGAACTTGTGAGGACGTACTTGGTAGGAATTAAATCTTCACTGTGAGACTCTGGTGCTTCTAGCGGAGGTAGGTCGGATGAGATGGATGCAAAGAAAGAATTCACGAATTCGGCAAATTCTTCCTGATCACCATGCGCAACATTGTCGACAAGGTTTTTCAATGGTTATAGTCGTGTTTCTCACCTTTGAGTGGCTTTACTTCGTTCCACCAATTTCTGCTTTGTTTAAGGTCCGAAGATCAACTTTTGCCTGAAAGTACTGTTTCCGAATCGACTTCCTCAACCTGTTCACTTTGTTTCTGTAGTACCTATACTGGGGCTGGTGTCCTCCGTGCCAAGCACGCTGTCTCTTTTTTATCAAATCCCTAAAACGATCTGTGACCCAAGGTTTTTCACTTTCTACTCTGGTGACTTGCTTCCACTGGAAGTGCCGGTCTACAAGGGATACGATGGTTGTTTCAAACTGGTCATATTTATCTGAGCAAGGGATACACTGGTACAATGGAGTCCAGTCCACCTCCTGCAACTCATCTTTGAATGCTGCTTTTGCACGTGGGAGAAAGCGTCTAATAACCCGTGAAAGTTTTTTGGCAGGTTGCATTGCAAACGACGGCTTGGATTGACAAACGACCACTTGATGATCAGACAGACCAAGCGCTGGTTCAATTGTTGGTTCATAGTACACATCACTCATGTTAGTGTATATCAGGTCCAGGCGCGCATTGTTTCGTGTTGCCCCTTTAACGATTTGCTTCAATTTGTAGTTGCGTTTGAGGATAGCATCTGGCATTCGGTTAAAGTCACCTGTTAAAATAATTCCCGCAGATGGGTGCAAGCTCATTACACTGTCTAGCGAGGTGTATATGTGCTCCAGCATATATGATTATGCTTGTCTTTGACGTTATGGGGCTGATAAATAGCTCCAAACACAATGGGATTAAACTGCCGCGGAAGACGTTGGGGCTGCAATTTAAGCCAGACAGACTCGACGTTCTCCTCAGCTAAATTCCTGAGCACCGAGAATGGAATGTTGGCATGTACATAGCACACAATCCCTCCACCTGATGTATGGTCTCAGTTATGTCTTATTGGGGGGGGGGGGGGTGATAGTGATCTAACAACAGGACGCTATCAGGAACACTGTTAGGACACCATGATTCTGTTATGCAACACACATCGACTTTATGTTCAGTTAGTGTTACACTTAACTCATCAAGTTTTGGAATCAAAGTTCTGGCGTTCGCATTCATCAGGGTCGGTATATTAAGTTTATTGGTTTTAATTGCCACCAAGTTACTCACGCAGACAGCCGGCTGTTGCTTTCGAGGCCGCATATTTCTACAGTTAACCACGACTCTGATGGGGCGTTGGCGAGTAATTCCAGCCCTGGTACCCCGCTTGATATATTTATTGCATAGACCATGCAACTTCAGCATAGACCACACTTTCGCTGGTAATCTGCCTACTGCTCCAGTCTGTTTCATCATATGGTTCCAATGCGGAGTAACTGTTGTGCGGTGTAGCGTAACATGGTGGTGCAACGTGACTTGCCCAAATGACGACACAGTCACATTATCCAAAACCTCCAACAATTTGCTGTATTGCAATGTCTTAAAAACTCACTAATTATCACACAACATATGACAAAGGCACAATACGACAAAACAAGACGTAACACGCAAAAAAACGGAATTTTTGCGGAGCAAAAACGAGAGGGTGCTGCCACACAGCGCACCACTAGACACTAGACATTACCAGTCTAGTCACAAGTACATCACAAGTCACATCACAAGTCCAGTCAAAAGTACTTCACAAGTACATTACAAGTCCAGTCGCATGTCCAGTCACAAGTCCAGTCACAAGTCCAGTCACAAGTATAACGCAAGTCTAGTCACAAGTACATCACAAGTACATTCACAAATACATCATAAGTCCAGTCACAAGTACGTCATAAGTCCAGTCACAATTACATCACAAGTCTAGTCACACATGCATCATAAGCCAAGTCACAAGTACATCACAAGTCTAGTCACAAGTACGTCACAAGTTTAGTCACAAGTACATCACAAGTCCAGCCACACGTACATTACAACTCTAGTCATAGGTACATCACAAGTCCAGTCACAGGTACATCACAAGTCCAGTCACAAGAACATCACAAGTCTAGTCACAAGTACGTCACAAGTTTAGTCACAGGTACATCACAAGTCCAGTCACAAGTACATTACAAGTCTAGTCACAAGTACATCACAAGTCCAGTCACAGGTACATCACAAGTCCAGTCACAAGAACATCACAAGTCTAGTCACAAGTGCATCATAAGCCCAGTCACAAAAACATCACTAGTCTGTTCACAAGTACATCGCAAGTCTGGTGGCAAATACATCACAAGTCCAGTCACAAGTACATCACAAGTCCAGTCACAAGTACATCACAAGTCCAGCCACAAGTACATCACAAATCTGGTGGCAAGTACATCACAAGTTTAGTCACAAGTACATCACAAGTTTAGTCACAAGTACATCACAAGTCCAGTCACAAGTGAATCACAAGTCCAGTCACAAGTATATCACAAGTCCAGTCACAAGTAAATCACACGTCTAGTCACAAGTACATCACAAGTCCAGTCACAAGTATTTCACAAGTCTAGTCACAAGTACATCACAAGTCTAGTCACAAGTACATCACAGGTCCAGTCGCAAGCATGTATCACAAGTCTTGTAATATAGCTCTATGAGTATGAGAACATCAGAGTCCAGCCTAAAGGATCGATACCCAAGTAGGAAAATTACAATAAAAATAAAAAACAACCCTTAGTACAGCTAGTCAGACTGCCTGTGAAATTATTCTCTCTGGCATTACATGCTGTCATTGTGAAGAACACAATAAAAGAAGGCCATTTCTAAATAGTGTGTCAAATGACACATTTTTGGGAGTTTTCGTTAGTAGTTGGTTTGTGATCGGACTACTCTGTGAATGGGTGTGCACAAGTGTTGACATGACTCATTCAGCGGTTTAGTGTGCAACATTGCAAAGCTTCAATCAGCTGAATGAGAACAAACGTGTCTCAGCAACTTTTGAATAGAAATTGAGATCCTAGAATATTGTTTCCTCTGAAAACATAGCATTCACATATCTTTAACTTCATTTGGGGTAGTTGTTAAGCACCCATCTTTAGATTTTGAGAACTTTTGTTGCTTCAAATGGGAAAAAAAATCACAAATGACAAATGATCTACCCTTCCTTCAATTTTCACTGCTGCAAATTCTCAAGTCCATCATATTTCAAAGGAAACATGAGATAACTGTTTCAACCAATCTCTTATCTTTTTCCTTTCTTTTATTTCAGGGCAAAGGTGAAAGTCTGACGTACTGGCTCGAGGGACATGATCCATGCTACAAGATCGACCAAATCAAGCCACCCAAACAAAACTTGTTAACAACCAGTATATTATCCCAACATTATCTGCAACGCATTTGGATCAGCAATTTTTTGTAAAGAGGTAAAAAGCATAATCAGCTATTATACCACAGCGTTTGTAGGTCTATTTGAAAAACCTAACAACAAATTCAAATTAACACACAATTGTGTGTTCACCAACAGATTTGTTGTTCCCGATTACAGCTTTCGTTTAGCAACTTTAAGAAAAAGATTCAGGAAAAAAAAGGTTTAGGCCTCATCACACTTGTACAATAACTAACTTTGATCAAGTCACTTATTTTTTTTTTTTAACAAAGACTGAAGTATTTTGTAGTCGCCTTTTAATCTACTACCATGTGGAAGTTGTAACAAAAATTCCGTCATCAAACAAACAGACTGTGAGTTCATAACTATACTGTTGAGAGTCACTAATTTGGTATTAAATTGTATTCAAACTAGTGATGCGTTTAAGAAAATATTCTTTGTCTGTACCATCCAAGCTTGGGAAAAAAATAGCAAAGTGGTACTGCTTTGTTTGTTTGAGTTCTCATATGGGCTTACATCATTTGACTTGGTGCCCTATCATTTGCCTTGTTGCCCTTGTGCTCCTTAGTGCTAAATATTTGAGGCGGTGCAGCACTAAAGGGCACTGTTGTAGCTACAGAAAATTTTAAAGAAAAAAAGAAATTGACTCAACAGATCAAAATTGACGCACAACGATTTTTTATGGCTGAATGGACAATAATGCAAGTGGGGGATTTTTGTTTTCTTTATATTTCAGATTGAGTGATATTAATAACATTTGATAGTCACTACTTATGTTTTAAGGAAATTGTATAAAAAATATGGAGTAAGGTCTAAGGTATGTTTAAAGTAAAACCAATGGGCTTGTTTCATTGTTTTTGTCATGTAATGCTGCGGCCGGGTGAGGTGGAGTAGAGGGCGCTATTCAGGACTTTCTTCTGTCACCTTGCAAGATGGAATGATGCCAAGTCACTATAAATTTATATTTCCCGGATTCGTTTGTATCAAAGATATATAACTAGGCATCCTATCCTATCTACAAGGATGGGACTAATAAGGGAGCAAAGACACTTCTTCAGTGAAACAATAATTTATTCTTAAAAACTCCAAGATTTTTTTGAACCAATTTGACATCTGTATTGATAGGACTCAGCTACATGTATCATTGCTTGTTCATCTGTCAACTGCTACGAATACTGCAAAATCTTTGTTTGTATACACGTTATCCGACGCAAACTGGTTAACCTATTTTTTATTTAACCTTGTTCCACTCGAATTTGCAGGATAGCTAATAATGAATACAAGTAAATGTCTCAATCAGTATCAAACATTTTTTTCCCAAATTGACAATATTCAAATTTCTTGACCAGGTGATGGCAGATCTACCAGCTCACTTCACATCAGAGAGCTCTCTTGAGAAGCACTATAGAAGCACTATAAGGCCCAGGAGAAGGACTGCTTCTCACGGCTAGAACAGACTCAGACCAGAGCTCCCTTGAGAAGCACTATACGGCCCAGGAGAAGGACCGCACCAAGTACATCACTACCTTGCTGATGCTTCACAGGGATGGTGCAGACTCAGACCAGAGCTCTCTTGAGAAGCACTATACGGCCCAGGAGAAGGACCGCACCAAGTACATCACTACCTTGCTGATGCTTCACAGGGATGGTGCAGACTCAGACCAGAGCTCTCTTGAGAAGCACTATACGGCCCAGGAGAAGGACCGCACCAAGTACATCACTACCTTGCTGATGCTTCACAGGGATGGTGCAGACTCAGACCAGAGCTCCCTTGAGAAGCATTATACGGCCCAGGAAAAGGACCGCACCAAGTACATCACTACCTTGCTGGTGCTTCACAGGGATGGAACAGACTCGAAGTACTGCAAAGTAAGACTTTTTCATATTTGAAGAGAAAATGCTCTAACTGTACTTTAAAACGGTTGAGGGAGTAACAGCAAAAGATCTTTCTTGCCTGATTTTTATGCTCAACACAATAAAACTAAGACAGAAAAAAGTGGAAAATCTGTCAAAAGCAGGATTCATCACACTGAATGTTTTGGGGACTTTTTGATCGGGTACTACCCGATCACCTTTTTGAAATGGTAATAATTATTCTTTTTTTTTTTTTGCTGGACAATAATTCTTTACAGGTTTTCTCCTACGTGAACTCGCTCGACCTTTACTTCCGGGTCTACTGGAAGGTCAAAGTTGGGTGAATTTAAATTAAAGACAGAATAGCCTCAAAATCAAAACGAACCACATCTTTTCCAAACAGTTCACGTGATGACGATAAAACCTACATGTAGATGGAATTTGAACCCTGGTCCGGAGATGTAAAAGAAAGTGTGATGTCATCATGACATCACCTGGTATCAAATTACAAGCTTACTTTTAATTAGGCTATAACTTTATAATGGAACTTTTAATTAGGCTATACATGTAACTTTATAATGGAACAGTCTCATTTTTTGTTGTTTCAGACATTGCTACTGGCAATATTTTGTTCCAGCATGTCCAGGCACATACCATTTGACCTTTACTTCCAGTGTAACCGGAAGTACAATGATAATAAATTTAACTTGAAGACGGAAGCATTTTGCTACAGTTATATAAATTATGCAAATATTTAGTTAGGAATGTCCAATACAAACATTGGCATGATGACATAATTACACGAAAGGGCGCGTACCAGTACATTCACGCAATGCGTCTCTCCAACTAGGGCTCTCAAAAGTTGTCAAAAAAGGGACAATCTACTGTTTGTGCACGTAATCTTTGTAATCACCCTAGATATACATGCACCTAGGGCATGTAGGGCCTTGTACTTTTCAATCATATTCTCAAAGGTGGCTTAAGTTCAAAACGTAAAATGCACTCAAATTTGATCAAATTGTCTACTCAGATTATTTATTTATTTATTTATTTCAACCGGATCCAACAGCGACCAAATCGCCAATTACAGTAGCACCAAAAATAATTGCAAACAAATAGTGTCACCAGAGTTACCCTTTACATCTTGCGCTTAACTTTCCAGGTTGTGGGTCTCTGGTCAGACCAAAGTTCTGGACTTGATGTAGTGATGCATTTAAAAAAAATATTCAATTTTCAACCAGTTACTTGTGAACTGACTGCAAAAAACATCACCAGTCACTCGGGATACATGGCCTACATGTACAGTATATAAGTGTTGTACATGTAGCTGAATCCAACACTATCACACATAAACGTGAACAAAACTGAATACAAGTATTCGCAGTCACACATACCGGTACATGTATGGGAAGTCAAAATAAACCGTTTTTGTTAAATTTAAGTTGGATTTGAAAAGGCGTCTCTACAAATCCCAGGATTGGGGAAAAATTATATAAAATAAAAAGTAAGAACTACAATGTAGTAAGAAGTTTTCGGCTACCAAAAAAAGGGGGGGGGTGGAATCTGTAGGCCAAGAATACATAAATTTTGATCCGTATTTGTGTCTTGACATCCTCGTGTAAGTTGTTAGTCTTTATGTTACAGTGCAGGCTCTAAAATTGGCATTAAAAAGTCGGTATATCAAGCAGAAATTGCAATGTGGCAGTGACCTACCGGTATCTCTTTTACAAATTTGTTCCCCTCGACTGGCTTTAGTAAGACACATTGTGGCGCTGTTTTCAAGATGGCTGTGGAATGTGAAACTTACTTTCTAAGCATGTCAAGTGGACAACGTGTCTTTGGATTCTAAAATGGCACATTCCAGATGAAAGTGCACAATCATTAAAACAATACGTGCAGTAAGACCTGCACCTCAGAAAAAGTTTACCCATATTTGTTATAACCTATGAAATCGTATTGGTACTACTGAAAGTTTAATCCAATACGTCAATGCAAGTCAAGGATTTAAGGGTATTTTGCGAATTGAGTATTTTGAACTAAATGATTTTCTTGACACTAATAATTTGCAGATCAGATTGTACAGTTTGAAACATGCACATGTGCAACCTTTAACGACTGTAAGTCAAAAGCATTTGAATGAATTTTTCTATCCACACAAACTACACATTCTGCTGAAATAAGTTCGAATAAAAAGGCTTTATAGGCCTAGTTGTTTGCAAAACAAAATACATATTGCTTTCATTTATATTATTATTTGATCATAATAATCGAAAGATATTTTGTGTACATGTAGATTGTCTGAGCAAAGGAACATAACTCGGCTAGATATGGTTATTTAAACAAAAACCGTGTCTAACTAAATTCATAACATACATGTAGTAGAAGACTAGAAGTGTTCTTTTAATATTAAACATTTGATGTTTAATCCAATAAATTTTAATCCAATTAAAATTAAACTGTGTGAAGTATAAATCGTCTGGTTATGTGTTTTCGTTCTGACTTTTCTTTGATTGGCCCTGAGGGACGTACTTCAGGGTCAGAAGCGCAAGTTGGTGTTGTAAGGGTTCGTTCTCACTGGATTCCTCGATTAAAGCTTCGTCTGCTTTGGCCCACCTGATGTACCGACAGTGTTTCATCTCTTCAAACAGTTCTCCGTCCTCCAAGTCCTGAAGGTTGGCGACATCGTCCATCTGCAGAGACTCCCGCCGGAACTTGCGGTAGCTTTGCATTTTCTGCACCTCATCTTGTAGCGTGTCGAAGGTGGTGGCATGCATGATCTGCGTGCTGACCCTGCGCATTTGACGTCTCGGTGTTGAGCGTGATGTGGACGAGGCTGTCTGTTGCATGAGGGTGGACTGCCTTTCTATCTTGGCACCAGGATTGTTGCTGATCCCACGTGACTCGGGTGAAAAGGCTGGCGAGGAAAACTTACTGTGGGCCAGCAAAGGGGCCTTGGTGGGAGTGGACGCCTGCGAGAGGACGCTCATGTCAAGACCCGACTTGGGTCGCTCATCATGGTGGCCGTGGTGTGGTGACATGTCATCAATGCGTATAGACGGCGCTGGCATTTCACCTTTTGAAGTCATGCGACGGACGTGGTTCTTCAGCTGTGCTTTGTACATGTCCAGGTAGTTGGTTCGCAGCACCTTGCTATTGGAGTCCAGTTGTTGCTCGGCAATGGTGGCGCAGGTACCGACACTCGTCTGAGGGCGTCTTTTTTTGGCCGCGGTCTTCGGGAGTAAGACATCGGCTGGATTGAGGACGTACGCCGAGCTCTTCATGACCATTCTCACCGATTCCTCAGCCGCTGCCGTGCTCTCATTGTCTGCCAGGGCTTTGCTTGCCTCGCTGATAACGCTCTTTGTCCTACTCACCGGTGTTGCCCACTTCCCATCAGTCCTGTCTCCCTGCGTCGGTGTCTCCATCTTCTCTCCGGTGCCACCCGCAGCAGTCGCATGCTCTTCTGTCCATTGCCTTCTGGAAAGACCTCCACTGCCTCCTCAAATTCCTCCATCACCTTCCGATAGTGATATATCTGGACCTGATCTGATCTCATCGAGGACAGTCTTCTCTTGACATCTTGAGGCCTTTTCACACTGTCCAAAATCTCCGGGTTGGAACCGGTTCCAACCCCGAGATTTTTTTCAACCCTTTTCCACTTCTAACATTTCAACCCGGTTCCGATCCGGTAGCGTGCTCTAGCCGGATCGAAATCAACCCTGGAGGGACCAGGGTTGAAAATCTCAACCCGGATCGAAATTCATTTTTCGGCCTGAACCGTGTCGAAAATGACAGTGTGAACCGCCCGGTTGAGTCACTCACGCCGATCCGTGTTGAGTGAGGCCGACATTTTCCGAAAATCTGACACGCCGTGCATAATATTCCCTCCACCACTATCGCCGTCACAACACCGATCACGAAACAATTGCTCCCTAATTATCATCCAATAATGTATCGGTGTATGGAGCATCCTTTACCGAGTCTGGCTTGTATTAGGTCTGCAAAATGTACCCCAAAAAAGTACATTTCTAATGCTAAATAGAACGAATCGTCTAACGAAATGACCGGAGCCATTTTGGAAATATTGCACACAGCTGCGCTGGTGTCGTACAAAATCAGACTCCCAAATCGGATTCTTTACTCTCTTATTATTGGCCAAACCTTTCACGTGACAGGTCCTTCTCCTAATAGGCATGCGCAATACTACCAATGAGTCCGTTTTCACAGAGTAGTAAATTCACGCTGAACACGGCCTGTCTGTAAGCCTCGTGCGCGCAGCAGCCGCGTGCGTCGCAATGCATTATGGATTGAGAAAATCATCGCAGCGCCCTGTGCCGAATGCGATCCGTGTCGAGAATTTGTAGTGTGAATACACGTGGGCGTAGCCGGATTGAACTTACACGGTTCACATAGCGGCCGTTCCCGTAAAGGACAGTGTGAACGTCGCGTCTCTCCGATCCGTGTCGAAAAATACTCGGGCTGAACCGGTGGATCCGGGTAGGTTTCAGCACGGTTCGAAACGGAGATAGTGTGAAAAGGCCTTTGGTGTATTCTCTGGGAGGGGTTTGCTGGTGGCCACCGATTCAGCGTGAGATGCAAAGTGCTGTTGTCCCCTGACTCTCTTCTTAGGAAGCAGGGTGGCTAGTTCAGCTGGGGTGGAGAGTCGTGGCGCGGGGACGGGCCAGGTATGATGGCATCCCCTCGGGCTTGGCCAGCCGCGGCATGGGGCACTCCTTAGACGACACTCGCCAGATCCCCTCATGAGACTTGCGGATGCAGAGGTCCCGATCTTTCTCCAGGACGTTGACCACTTTCTTCAGTCTCTGCTCCTGCGTGCGGTTCTGCATCTGGCCTTGACAAAGATGCGGCTGGAGCGGGCTTTGAGCTAGTCCAGCAGCCGACGGTAGTGGCGCTTGGTGCTGCCCGGTCCGCCAGTCATGGTGACGACCTTCCGTTTAACAATTCAAAGGAAAACAGCTTGTATAGAAGAATACAACTTCTGTACAAGTATCCTT